AGAGAGAGAGAGAGAGAGAGAGAGAGAGAGAGAGAGAGAGAGAGAGAGAGAGATCATTGTTCCCCTTATGGGTTTTTCTGTAATTTTATTGTTTTTCAGGTTAAGATTACAATTATTAAATGGATTTTTGCACCTGTCTCGTATCTCCTCCTGATTATAATGTGGCAATTTAGTTAATTTAGTTTCACCCAAATTTAAAATCGATAGGACATTTTTAAAAAGCACCAATAAAACAGTGAATAAATGACTGAATTATACTAAATAAGAAGATAGATTTAAAAGTGACCCTTACTGTGTTGGCCTCGGAAATCTGGGAAATGCATGTTTCCTGAACACCGTGCTACAGTGTTTGAGCAGCAGGCCTCTTTGGTACTTCTGTCTTCAAAGGGACTTCCCGCAAGAGATGTCCAGAGAAGGCCGAGCCCAGGAGCTCACAGAAGCCTTTGCAGACGTAGGTGCCCTCTGGTACCCTGACTCCTGTGAAACTATAAATCCTACTCCATTCCAGGCTGTCTTCCATAAATGCATTGCCTCCTTCTCTGGATACAGCCAGCAGGATGCTCAAGAGTTCCTGAGGCTCCTCATTTAATGGTGAAGCTGCTGGGTACCACCAATCCCAGCCAGTGGTTCAGTTCCCTCTCCACCTCTCTGGGGAGGGTTCTGTGTGAAGAACCTGAATTAAGTGATGATGACTGAGCCAACTTAAATGTGGAAGTGCTCCCTGAAACGAGAAGACAGCAAGATTGCGGGCCTATTTGTGGGATAGTTGAAAATTTGCCTCAAGAGCCAGGCCTGTGGGTATCACACCTTCAAGGTTTTCTGTGACCTGTCTCTGCCCATCCCCGAGAAAGGATTTGCTGGGGCAAAGTGTCGCTGAGGGAGTTTCAGCATTTTCACCAAGGAAGAAAACCTAGAGGCAGGACTAGTTCTGATCAATGCCGCAGAAACACGACAGTACAAAGATTCCCCAGGGGGACGTGACTGGTACAGGAATATCTTGAAACTAATCATTGAGAAATAGTACTCGATTCTATTGCTGGTTTGGAAAGACTGCTTTCTTTCTATTCTTCAATCATTAAGAAGCCTAAAATTTCAATTCACCATTGAGTGTCTGGTCTTCCTGATTCTCGTAGTTGGAGCTATTTAGCTCCTATTTCTTTGCTATAACCTTCCTAGATTTTCAAGCTGTATTGAGTTGGTAGTCACTGAAAATTGTTGATTATGTTACCATGGCTACTTTTTTTAGAACACTTGACTTTATTAGCTTTGATTCTCCAAAGCCCCGGGCCTTGAAAGGGCATGTTTCCTTCCAAGATTTTGTGATGGTACGTACCTTTAATCCCAGCACCAGGGAGACTGAGGCAGCTGCATCTCTGTGGGTTTCAGAACAGCCAGAATAGAAGATACCCTGTCTCAAAAAAAGACAAAAACAAAAAACTGATGAAAAGGACAGTATTGAATTTTTCCAGTGATTGGCAAAAATAGTCCAGGATATTATTTTTTTAATATTATGTCTATTGTGATTTATTAAGCATTAGTGAGGAAAGTTTCTACTAATGATAATAAACTAAAAATAGATATCTAATGGGGCTACACAGATGACGTAGAGATTAAAAGTATTTCTTACTCTTGCAAAGGACTCAGATTTGATTTCAGCACCTTCATGGAGTCAACAAGCACCGACCTGTAACTCCAGCTTCAAGGGACCAGTGATCTGTGAGTGTCTGTACTCACATGCACACACTGACACACAGGCACAATTACACATAATTAAGCAGAAAATAAATATATTTTTAAAAATGTATAACCAGGGTGAATAAATAGTTATCTGGGAAACAGAAAAGAAGAAATTCTTAAGTAGGTGGTAAATCATTCGTTTTCCTTATCCAGTTTTATATGGAATGAAGGGGAAGAAATGAAGATTAAACAAGGCACATTTTCCATTAGGAATCTAAAATTACTACCCTGTGATTAAAGGCTGTGTGAAGAATGAAATATGTCCTAAGTGCTTTCTGAGAGGCTAATTAAAAACTCAGAGAGCATTGGAGAGGACGAGCCTTTACTGTCCTCATGAGACTCACACCACTTTACAAATTCGATTGATCTTTATGTATTCGTGTTTCTTCTACAGTTACGTATTACATTTGTTTCTTTACGCCCCTACCACAGCTTGTGTATGGAGGAGATCCCAGGACAGCATTTGAAAGTCAGTTCTCTCCTTCAGCCTGTGGGCTACTGGTTGTCTTAGGGTTTTTACTGCTGCAATGAAATATCATGACCAAAAAAGCAGGTCGGGGAGGAAAGGGTTTATTCACATACATTTCCACATCGCTCTGCATCATCAAAGGAGGTCAGGAAAGGAACTCAAGCAGGGCAGGAACTTGGAGGCAGGAGCTGATGCAGAAGCCATGGAGGAGTGCTGCTTACTGGCTTGCTTCCCTTTGGCTTGCTCCGCCAGCTTTCTTAGAGAACCTAGGACCACCAGCCCAGGGATGGCACCAACCTCCATGTACTGGGGCCTCCCCCCTCAATCACTGAGAAAATGCCTTACAGCTGGGTCTTATGGAGACATTTCTCAGCTGAGCCTCCTTCCTCTAGCTTGTGCCAAGTTGACATAAAACCAGCCAATGATTGGGTGTGGAACTCAGGTTGTCAGTCTTAGCAGCAAGAGTCTTCACCTGATGATCATCTCTCTTACCCAGTATTCTTCGAACTTTTGCTTTTTAATATGTCTGTCATCAACTTTGCTCTCAGGTGGTAGTTGGGGAAAAAAGCATTTATTCTGCTCTCTTAAAAACACAAAGACTTTTATCCCCTAAGTAATGCCATACAACCAACTGGCTTTATGTATTGTCTCTATGGTGACCAATCCTGTATTTCCAACCGAGATCCCTCATGAAGTCCATTCTCATGTGTCCAACTCACACCTTCTCTTTCTCTACTTCGATGTCTGTGGATGTGTCAAGTTCAAATTGGCAAAGATCAAATCCTTGTTATATTCATTTCAGTGTCCATCCCTGTCCACCAACCTGCTTGACTTGCTCTCCTCTCAGCCTCCTTCACCTTAAAAGAGAAGCTGCAGTTTTGGTTGCTCTGGTCAGCACTGTATAGTTTTTGACCATTCTCCATCCACACCCGATCCAGCTACAGAGTGCATCTGTTTTATTTTTTAAAACAGTTAAGAATCTAACTTCTTACCATCTCCACTGAAAAGAACTATGCCAAGCTATTAATCTCTTGCCTGGATTATTATAGTGCCCCCCCCAGTTAAGTTTGTCTGTCTCTCCCACCCTAGGCTATTCTACACCCAGCAGCTAGAGTTATACTTGTAAAACAAACTAGTGTGGTGGTGCCTGCTTGTGGTGCCAGCCCTTAAGGGATCTGGATTTAAGACCAGCCTGAACTACATAATAAGACCTGTCTTAATGCAAAAACAAAACAAAACTCAAACCAGAACCCACAGAACTCTTTAATGATTTCCCATCTCATTAAGAATGACAGCTTCTTTATCATAGTCCTTGGATCCAGTCTGACTCAATCCCCACCGCTTCCCCTCTTACTCACCGACTCCAAGCACGCTGGCCTCCTTGCTGTTGTATTAAAATGCCGAGCACACCCCATGTTGTCATTCACTATTCCCTGTGTATGAGGTACCCTGTTCTCTCGGATGCACAGATAGATGGTCAGTGTGGTTATGCAAGGTCTTCCCTGACAACCTACCCACCTCCAGGCTGCTTGAGACTTTTCCTTAAAGCTCATCAGTACTAGCCTTAGAGCAAGCACCTGTGATATCTGTTAGTAATTCCTGTTCTAATGAGTTGGAGTCTTGGAGGCCCCAAATTATTCTAATCCATTTGGCTCCTGAGCTCCCCAGAGACCCACACCATAAAAGGAAAGAACCAGCTCCCTCAAGTTGTCTTCTGACCCTCACACACACACATATACAGACGCTTGTGCACGCTAACAAAAAGTAAAGATGTAGAGAAATAATTATTGAATAAGTAAATATGTTTGACTTCCTCTTAATCCCATTCAAATGAGAGTGAAGAGAGATACAATGAAGGGCGAACTAGGAAACAGTAGGGACAGGCCAAGTGGGAAGCCAGAACAGACTGCAAGAGGTACACAGAGGTCTTAGGTGGAATTTTCTTTTCCTTTCATTTATTTATTTTTTAAAGAAAATAATCTTTTTTCATTTTACGTAACAGTCCCACTTCCCACTCCCATTCCCTCCACCTACCACCCCCCACCTCCCCACTCCTCAGAGAGGGTAAGGCACATTGCTTTGGGGAAGGTCCAAGCCCCCTCCCCATAATATCTAGGTTGAGCAAGGTATCCATCCAAAGAGAATAGGTTCCAAAAAAGCCAGTACATGCAGTAGGAA